TTTTCAGCTGAAATTTTAATTAGCAAACAGAGGAGCGAGCAATGCGAGAACCGTATAGGTCATGGCCATGCTAGAGGGGTCCGGGGGCATGCTCCCCCGGAATTTTTTTAAAAGAATGGTGCAATGAAAATAGGGCAAGTTTTTTTATTAATTGTCTAGACATAATGATATTTTTCTGTTTCCACCCGTCGCTTGCATTGTTTTACTCAGACATAAGCTGCCTTGCTGCGACCAGATTTGAATGAAAAAAACACAATGCGAATGGAACAATCAGTGCATAGTCATGTACACAACATGCACGCAGCAACATGTAAACCCGGCCCCCAGGCCAGGCATGGCCGTTACGTGATCAGCTACCTCAAATGTCTGCCCCTCTACTGCAGCCTGTGAACGAGGATGTTCTTTTCTGGTACGCAAAAACAGATACACTGTATACTTCGCTGTCAGCCTACTGTCTACACTCTACAGTCTACAGTCAGGTGCTGTTGAAGGTATATAATTTAAATTGTTACATTGTTACCCCCCTCCCAATTTTCTCAACGAATTTAGACGTTTCACAAAATCGGCCCCTGGGACTGTCAAATCCGCGGATTTCCGCGGATCCGCGGAAGAATCTCATCCCTGGAATTTGCAAAAAACGTGATGCGTCGTTGGACCCCCTTTTTGCTCTTATATAGCCACGTATATATAACCCCGATTTAGTGCGACTCCGCGTTTTTCGCACCGACATTTTATGGACCCCAACCATCGCGTTATAACAGGGCTACACTGCACCTGCAGATTGTATGAGTCATTGTAAGAGTACACAGTTTGATAGAGCAACCATCTAATACATACCTCCATGACAGCAAAAGATTTTCTCATCTATGATGGCTGCCACTGGTAGGCAGTTGAAGCAATCGGTGAACGTCTTCCACAATTTTACATTAAAACGTCTCTTACCTAAAAAAAACGAAGGGGAATATTGTGTTGACCGTGATATCAACTGCAGAGGGATGACATGAGAATACCACATGATAAAATTTCCTGTAAAAAAATACAGAGTCCTTACATTCATCATAGAAGCCATATATTCGGTTAATGCTTGCACACTCATGATTGCCTCTCAGCAAGAAGAAGTTCTCTGGGTACTTGATCTTGTATGCCAGCAAGAGGCAGATTGTCTCCAGTGATTGTTTGCCTCGATCGACATAGTCACCGAGAAATAAATAGTTGGCTTCAGGTGGAAATCCTCCGTATTCGAACAGCCTCAACAAATCTGTGTATTGACCGTGTATGTCTCCTACAAAATGAAATGGGTTATACTACTCAGTATTACTCAAGAAAACAAACCACTGCACGCAGGAGATCTATACATGGCTCTCCTGTGAAGTTTAGAAGGCATGTCATTTATACTTATAGATCCAAGATGGGAGAAGACCCGGGAGGTGGTTGTACCAATTGGAGTCAATTGCATGTGTCATGACTGGCCACAATGCATAAGTAAACTTCATCAATTCAGAGACGTATACATCAAGCCGTCAGCGCAACTGTCTTGGAATTTTCAGAAGTAAACACAGATGGAAACTATTAAAGGCATAATGATTAAGCAATTAGGCATGTTGGAGGCTGTTTTGAAAACAGATAAGATATATATATTTAATTATATATCAAATACCATATTAATTTAAAGCAGTTCTTACCACAAATTTTTAAAGGTGCCTCTAATTCTAGCAAAATTGGTTGATTGAGAAAGATTTCTCTTGATTTAAGGCACAACCCTCTCACTTCTCCTTCTGTCATTTGTACTGTCTTCCCTGGACGGCATCCTCGGACTGAAATACATAATGATAAGTACAGATTAATTTGTAGTTGTACATAAGTCAGTGTAGCAGATGGGGTCGTTGTCGTATCAGGTACTACAGATATGTACCCGAGGTAGTTTTAGGTTGTTTAGTATTAACTATTATGTTTATATTTTTATATGAGGTATGTTTAGGGTTAGGGTCAGCGAAAAAAATACACGGGAGCGGCGAGCGATTTCGCTCCCGTCAGCTTTCAAAGCGCTCTGGTAACAACAATTACAAGAGCGAAAATTTTGGAAGATACGAAAAAAAATCGCGCCCGTGCCGACCCGGAGGCCCAGCCCACCAAGTTTTTGCTTGGGCCACCATCTCTACGAAACTCCCGGTCCTCCTGACCGGCACTTTTCCCCTCATATTACGCTGAAATACTACGGTTAGCGCAACGGCAGTAGCTTTAAACAGACTTGCAAACGGGAGCGCATAATACGACCCGTTCCTCAACGTAGACGGGGTATCCAAAACGGAGACCATCCAATCTAGAGCGGCATGAACTCCTTCCACGCATGATTCGCCACACGAACAAAAACTCGCGACAGTCTAATAAATTGATGGCGCCATAGCCGGCATGT